TATGTTTTTTTTTTAATTGACAATTTTATTCCACCTAGAAATCGAAAATTATTAGATTTACAAAGTTAGCTTACAAGGGAAGGTCCCCGACTGCCTATCGTGTCCAGGGTACCCATCATGTTTTTTAGAATCTACTAGGACCCCAGATGAAGGATTCATATTTCCGTGTAAAACTCATATTTGGCTTCGTGCCGTGGCGCTAAATCCGCCAAATTTGAATGTTTTTATTTTTGGAACCGCCATAACTTTTGAAATCCAGGACGTATTTTAAAAAATTTTGGCAAAAATCATGATAAGGAGTTCAATATTCGTATTCCATGACGTTTTTCCCAAAATTATCGCTTTTAACTTTTCGCAAAATTTCGTAATTTTCTTACAAATGGGGGTTCGTCGAAAAAATACTAAAAATATCTCAAAAATTAGAAATTTTTTATTTTTATTTTTTTTCTCGAAAATTTCGACTTTTGTGATCATTTTAAGCATAACATTTTGAAAATCCGACATAAACTGCAAAAGTTATGAGGGTTTGAAATTGGTCGAAAATGCAAATTTTTAAGTTTGGCGCCAAGCCATGGCGCCAAATATGAGTTTTACACGTAAATATCAATGATTTCTTCATCTGGGGTCCTAGTAGATTCTAAAAAACATAGTGGGTACCCTGGACACGATAAGCAGTCGCGGACCTTCCCTTGTTAGAATTACGATTTCTTTGTTCAATGAGAACATACATATATAAGTTTTTATTATTTAACCGAAAAAATACACTCGTATTTTCTCATGGAAATATAAAATGCGAATTTTAAGCTCCTAACTTTGTAACCCTTAATGTTACCAATTTTTAGAATGAATAAAATCTTACCTTGTCAAAACCGCATGGAGATGAACCCGTCTCAAAATTACAATTTGAGTACATTGAAGAGGGGAACATCGAGACAGAAAAATTCAAATTTATCCATACCCCGCCTACAAAAGATCCTTAATCAATTTTAAAGAAATATAATTGCTACAACTTTATGGAAACGAGGCCCCTATTTTTGATAATTGCATGACACTTGTTTCTCTGTTATTTTCATTGAACAAATGTACATAAAACCTTTAACTTAACTGTATGTAAATCAGGGTATGCTACCCCGGGTTTTTGGGGTATTGCGGTATTGCGGGGTTTGGTGGGTTTTGGGGTAGCAAATTTGAGCAATACCCACGGGTAGTCGGGGTAGTCGGGGTTTTCAAATTTTACAAAACATGATAACAGGGCATTGCTAGCAATTCAACAAATTAATTACTTTTTAAAATATAATTAACAAGCACTTTTGTAGCGAAATTACTGAAAAACTGATTTTTTTCCATTAATTTCTGAACTTAATACGTGAGACACTGACTCAGTTTGCCCCCATAATCCCTACTGCCCCGACTACCCCGACTACCCGCAAAACCCAGGTAAAACCCCGGGGAATGGGTTTTCAATAGCAAAACCCCGGGATTTTCCTTACCCAGATGCAAATGTTTCCATTTAACAGTGAAGAACAAAGCGACGATTAGGGGAAAGAATGGGGAGCAAATTTCCATATGGAAACCGTCGATCGCCACGGACCCGACCTCTTCCAGCAACGTGATCGGAGACGAATCCTGGCTCCACGGTGATGGCCGGGTTTGTGCTAAAGTTTCAATTTTATCCATCCCTTCGACATACATGTAACCTCTTTCGTACCACTGCTTTTTTAATACAATTTCCCTTCGGTGCGATGTTATGTAGATTTCCTAATTACACCTGATAGCAACTAATTAAGCTTTTCAACCAGTACCAAATTTTTAAGTGTTTTTAAAATGAAAATGCAAAAAATCCACTTTTTAATATTGATCAGTATAGGGAAAATTGCAAAATTTTAGAGGATAAATATCAAGGAAAATTCACTTTTTACCTTCGAGTTGTCCACAAAATAATAAAAAGAAATGTTATTACTTTTGAGAAATTTTGGTGTCAAGGTAATTCATACAAATGTGTGTACTTTGTCGTGAAAAGGTTAAGCAGTCTAGCACGTGCTAGTAAATTATGTACGGGAGGGGAGATAAATTTCAAATAAGTGAAGTTTTAAGATCACAGACACACCTTACTTTACAAATGTATAACTTAAATAATTGCAATCTCCTTAATCCAGGTGTACCGGACGCGACACATCAATCTCATCTTGCCCCTGTCCCTTCACGCAAACTTTACCCCTCTCGCTAACGACTACTTTCTGGACATTTTCTCCAACCGAGAATTTCTTGATGGAGTAACCCTCGAGTGGAAGGGGGAGGATCCCGTCAGCTTCAAGGGGGACGAGGAGGAGGCCGCGAGACGGAGGAAATCCGGTACCTACACCGCACCTTCACCCAGTCTCGTCATAAGTAGTGATTCAGCCCGTTGGCGGGTAGGCTACAGCGTGGGGAAATCCTCCGAGTGGAGTTTAAGGTCGAGAGGATTATTTCTAAGTAGGGGATAGCTGAGGGTAATTTTGTTCCTGAATAATTCATTGGTATTTTACATATTATTGAGATTTATGTATGTACAACTTGTATTAGAATCATGCCTTATATAAAAAAAATCATTCAAAACTCAGTCCCCTTGATTTGTGAGTGAAGATTTTCATTCACGTACATACACGTCATTTTCGAATTCATTTCATTTCCACTTCATCCGACCGCATTTCTTACTTCTCCCCAAATATATTGAGCATTAATAATGCGAAAAATGAAAGGAGTATGAAATCCTTACATTTGCGGTACTTCATGTTATATGATGGAATCATTCAGTCATTTTCATTCAAATGATAGAAAATTCATTTTCATTCACTCTCATTCATTGTCACGATCATTCCACAGAATGAAAGTGAACAGGTATGCATATAATATGCGACATCACTCGATATGCAGATGACCATCATTAGTAACACAACTTCATAATTATTGATTAGATTCGTTCCAATTCCGTAAATTAATAATTTGCAAATTTCTATCTTTTATCTGTCCTCTGGGAAGAGGATGCGAAAGACAACGTAAATGTGTACATACATACCGAGTTTTAGCAAAAATGCGTATGGATTACAAACGTGCTAAATAAATAATTTGAATAATTGTTGCTATATATTTATTTTCAAAATTTTATTTTTATATTCAGAATTCGGAAAATATTATTGCTACCAGCTACCCGGGGGTATTTACTACGTTAAATCCTCACTATCTAGTGTTACGTTTACACATTGTGGGGAAGATTTATTACAATGTGGGGTAAAACATTATCACAATTTGGTTAAGTCATGTGGGCTCCCGTTTGGTGATGATTCAATACCGTTTTGCTAAGAGTGTATGCAAATTCAACCGCATGGTAACCCTGTAATTTTTACCACGATAGGGGGCTGAGCAGGATTTAGTTTCTGCATTATGTTACCTTTCGGTGATAAATTATCACCAAAGCGATATAATTGCATGGTATCTCTGCCCGTGGTAATTGTATCACAAAATTCTTAAGAGTTACCTTAACCTTAAGAGTGTACGATGTAATTTTGATATGTATGTATGTATGTATGTATATTCATTCAATACCCGACTACCGTCTTATCTTTTTACAAATCGAGATTTGGACTCGTTTTAAATAAATCGTCTTTGGCCAGAGACTTATTTAACGTGATTTTACCAAACCTGATAAAATCACATCTAACTGCATAACATCAATGTGATGTACATAAATAAATATGGACTTATGTACATACATACGGGTAAAAACATACGTATTTATGAAATGCATAACCACATTCGGGCTAACCTACTATAAGTATTCAATAAACTTATTTACGACAGTTCAATGCGATTGAGAGTTTGCAATATAACCGAAAAATTTCGTTGTCATTGTTTCAATCTATTCTGTTTACGAAAGCCTGCTCAACAGTTTGTGCAATTCTTTGTTCTGGAAAGATAAATCAAACATTATTGGGGTCACAGCATGTATAAATAATTAATCTTTTCCATGGTTATGAGTGTTTAACTAGACCCTCTTAAACCACCCCCTCAACCAATTTATCTCAATAGGGCTACTCAACAGCTAATGTAAGCTGATCCCAAACGTAAAAGTTAAATTACTCGATCGAATTGAAATTAAAAATTAGGCAACCTTGGCTTAGGTTACTTTAAAAATTTATTTTTACTTTATGTTTATTCCCGCTACCTTTTCTTCTACACCATGCGACCTGATTGGATAAATTAAAACTTTTTGTGTGAAAATTTAGTGCACGATTAGGTCGAAGACATATGTATGATGGCAATAAAATTAAACTAGAAATTAATTTTTAAGGTCACCAAATCCTTAAATTTTGAACTTTAAGCATCATTTAACTTTGTTCACATTTAGTATCAGCTTATAGTAGCACTTTCGTAGCCCAATTGAGATAAATTGGTTGACGGAGGTGGTTTTAGAAGGTCTACATATATATCAGTAGACCTGCTATATATATATATATACAGGGTGGTTTAAATGTCAGGCTACAATGGCAAATTTTTCAATGGGAAAAATTCGCAAATCCCCATTAGTTACCGAAATTTTGCCTCTGAAATTCAATATTTTAAGAGTTTTGTCATCAGTGTTCCATGAGCGTTGATAAAAATTAATAAAAATCTCAATCCCAAATCCATAACTAATGGAAATTTACAAATTTTTCCCATTGAAAAATTTTCCATCGTAACCTGACATTTAAACCACCCTGTATTTATATAGTTAAACACCGTGGTTATGTATGCAGTACTATATATATTGTTAGAAATCTCGTATGATCAGGCACGTTTCGATTTCTCCGTGTAAAAGTTATACCCCATTGGAATTAAAATTACGCCTGTCCTTAAAAATTTGCTACCGATGTGGTAATACTTCAATACGGAGCTACTACTTGCTACAAAACTGGATTATTTACTGGATTACTTACTGGATTATTTATCAATACTACTTCGTAGAGTCATACACAAGTACATATATCGATACCAATAAGAGTATCGCTTGGTATTATTTTATTACCGGAGTTCTTAGGGTGTAGATAAAGGCCTGGTTTTATTTTTGGAGGCAGCTCTCTTTCCAGTATTTAGTTGTTGACACTTCTGACGCTAAATTTATTCCAATCCCATGTGCGTTTGAGGTATGTATAAAATGAACTTTTAAACGATTAAGATTAAATAGAGTTTAAAAACTTCCAGATCGTTTCGCTCCACCAGTACAAATTATTCTGCTTTGGCGTGTATGTAAACTCTGCCGTAACGTAAGTACATTTTAATTTTATAAATTTGGCAATTAACCTTTATGTATCCACCAGTTGTATTAAATGCTAATATCGGTTCTACATTATATAACATGCACTTTATGTACATAAGAAGATCACTTGTGCATTAACTTGTGTATTAAAATGAACATAGGCGAGGTCATATTTAAGAAAAAGCTTTGAATTAATGGGGAAATGGAGTTAGTTGGAAAATACCTCAATTTACATACAAAAGCACAAAGGGTTTAATTACAAGTTCCAAATTCTCTGGTTAGCTCACAAGGGACACTCACGACCTGTCGTTTGAGTCCAGGGCACCCACTATGTTTTTTAGAATCTACTAGGGCCCCAGATGAAGGATCCATTCATATTTCCGTGCAAAACTCATATTTGGCGCCATGGCGTGGCGCCAAGGTTCAAAATTTGCATTTTCGACCAAGTTCAAACCCACATAACTTTTGCAGTTTATATCGGATTTTCAAAATTGTATGCTTAAAATGATCACAAAAGTCGAAAGTTTTGAGAAAAAAATAAAAATAAAAAATTTATAATTTTTGAAATATTTTTAGCATTTTTTCGACGAACACCCATTTATAAAAAATTGCGAAATTTTGCGAAAAATTAAAAGTGATAATTTTCGAAAAAATTTCATTGGATACGAAACTTGAACTCCTTGTCATGATTTTTGCCAAAAATTTTGAAAATCCGTCCAGGATTTCAAAAGTTATAGCTGTTTCAAAAATAAAAAACATGCAAATTTGGCGAATTTGGCGCCACGCCATGGCGCCAAATTCAAATGAAGTTGTTTATTATCAGTTTAGTTTAGTATAAAATGTCGTATTATACATTAAATTTATAATAAGATTTTTAGTTGAATTTGAAATAAAACTGTAAACTACGTATGTATGTATGATATTTTTTCATAGTATAACTGGTCTAATCAAATATTCCTTTATACCATTTTGATACCGATTTAGGAACCAGACACTTCGGCCCTTTATCAAAGTGGGTGTGTTGGCATGTTCCCTCTTCGCTACTAAACAATATATCCTTACGACATTTGCCTGCACGAAGGGTCCACTCCTTTTTAGTATCTTTCCCCAACTCACACACATAGTAAGATACGCAATCCCAATCTTCCGAATTTTCCAATCTTACCACCATTTCCCCCTCCTATTTGCAAATATTTTTCGCATCGCCAATTGTTCCATTGTTATAATTTGAACCTTTCGGGATTTCGCATATTGGCGCGTTAACCGCATCTGTTCCGACACAGTTTCCATCTAGTTGGCTGTAAACTTGCAAGTTGCTGCAGGTATCTTGATACACCTCCCAAGAACCATCGTCGTTTTGCCATAGGCATTTCACATAACTTACACAGCTTCCAGGTGCGGGGAAGAACTGACCTCGTTTTTGGCATAGGCCATATGTCCCACGTGATTTGAATATGCTCAGTGGATGGGTCTCGAGGCTGTAATGAATCGGATATTCGACAAATTCGCGTACACAGTAGGATTGATAAGGATGTTCCACCTGAGCTAATGAGGCGTTCGCTGAGGCCAACTTGTTAAACTCGGTCCGCTCATCGCACGTGTACGTGCTGATGTTCCACTTCTTGTTGTCGAGTTTTGTGCATATCGTAAATTTTTTGCAGTCCATAGGATCGCCAAAGACTTGGTATTTACATAGGTCCATAATCCAGGCAAGGTATTGTTCTGACATCTGTCAAATATAACAATTTTTATCGTATTATTTCATGGTGTCAATTAATTCCACGGGTGAATCAGTAAGAAATAGTCGTATCGTGCCAAGTTGTTAATGATTAAACATGTTTCAATCAACCGCCCAGGGGACAAATAAGTAATCAATTAATAGTTTGTTCACTTTGAGTTTGAGTAAAAATTCTGCAGGGTTACATCACCAAGTCCACCTCGACTGATTATCTTTGCAGTCAACCTCAGCACAACAGACTTATCAAGTTCTTACCTTTTCTGACAGGATCAAGGCACGATGTTCTCAGTACCCACCGGGAAATACAGATATCCTTCGTCCACCCATGATAGTATGTGTCATTGGCGAACAAAGGGTTTATCACTTGGTTCGGAGGGCATTTCTTCTCGATACATGGTTTAATGGTAGTATGAGGCCCATATTAATACCTGAATCTCCCCTGTGACTTGGATTCCTGGCATTCTTGGTAAGAATCACATCCGTTGAAGACATATTTTACTGTGGCTAAGAACGGGATTTAGGTAATAAATCCTTAAAATTCGAGGGACAAAAGTATATCGGATATTTATCGTGTTAAATTAGATCTACCTACTTCCCGAGGTATCGTCGCTGGGCAGCGCAGCGGAATGCACAACAAGGGGGAGAAAAATGATGACCGCGCAAAATACAGCAGGAATCCCCATCGCCAAAGTTTTCTAAATCATGCTCGTAATTAACAAATCATCCGTTTTCACAAGTCGATTATACTTATAGCATTTAGTAGGGGGAAATCATTTTTTGTTTAAAAGTACAATAAGTAATAATCAATTTATGAATGTCCTGCCATTGTTACTCTGGTACATATGTATATTAAGTAGAAAAACAGGACAATCATTTCTTAATATGAAATTCTTGTTACATATCTGTATTACGTAACATGAAATGACATACGTATGTACATAGATAATAAGTAAATTTAAATATTCGATGCATTTATTTATAATACTTATACATCGATGTGGAACCGAATATCCGAGATACATTAATATTGACAACCGAGTAACATCCACTAGTAACCTGTCAAGTATTTTATACCTCTTTGCCAGTACAATTTCTAGAAATTATTTGGTATATGTATGTACTTGTCAAACTTTGAGGGCCCAAGATACGAATACATAAATGGGTAATGTTTTATTTTCACGGGTAAAGTATAGGGTATCGCAGAGTTCAAGAATTTAACAATTACAAAATTATTTGCGGGGTCACGATATTTGAACTAAGCTAAACGACCAGCGCCGTACATACAAATGTTTCCCAAACTGACATTAAAAGGAGATCTTCAACCTAATCGTCTGTACTAAAGCAGAAATAACTCGTCCAGCTCTCTATGAAATAAGTACATATGTATGGATATACGTATTTGGTATTTAAGTACACACTTGTTTTAATTTAGACCGAGACTTTGCAATATAACCATAACATAGATACAAACAGGTGTGTATGTATATTGCGTTAGCATTTGCGTTAATTTTTATTTTTTTTTTGCTGTAAAGCCTGCCCAAGAATAAATATATTTAACCAGTTTTGGGTTTGAAGTATGAATCCATAAGAAATTATTGGGGTCACCGTATCAATAACTCATCTTCTCCACGATTCGTTATACATCATTGCGTACGTGTGTAGGTTGTGCTCTTGTTTTAAGTTTGGGGTAAACCCTTGTCCCAATATTTATTTTGTCGTAGACACAATGGATATGCAATGGAAGGTGAATGGAATGTGGGATTTTGTGCCAGTTACATCTTCTGACGATAAATTTATCCTAATTCGAAGCGAATTTCAGATATAAAATAACCTTTTAAAAAGATTTGAGATTCACTCGAGTTTAACTAGTTGATTTATTCTACCACTATTTAAGGCTTCGGAGGTACAAAGTACAAGAAAACTTTACATCATTTAGAGTATCGGGTTACATTTCGAGACTTCTGTTTTCGAAAGGAAAATTTCGATTGATGAGTATACTATACATAACTCATCAATTTTAAATAATCACGACACATTAACAGCTCGAGTTTAATTACAAAGAAGCTAGAGCGTTTGACTTGCGCACTGGAGTCAAAATTACTCAATTTTAGCGCAAGCTTTGTAAAATGTACGGTTTGCAAACTAGCTTATCATAATTACTTTTACACCTTGACGAGCTTATTAAATACTGATTTGCATTTTATTATTGACTGGGAACTGGTTAAGGGTGATGGATTTGATTTGAATTTCAGCCCGCTCGCAATGTTAATCAAATGGGCACGTGTTTTTGGCGGGAAGAAATTCCATCACTCTTAACCAGTTCCCAGTCAATAGTATCCACTTTACTAAGGGAATTTCTTACTCAAATCATTCCAGAATTTTGAAAAGTTTAGTACAAGTTAGCTAATCTCTTCGACTTAAAGAAACCTTGATAGATATTAAGAGGAAAACGGCAAAATTTTGCATGCCCCTAATCGCATAGCGGTTAACTAGGAAACCAATAACTAAAATTTATGCATTGCTACGTAAATACAAAGGGTGGCTGCAAAATTTAAATATATCCGAATTATAATATAATTTATTTTTTCGGAAATTTACACAATCCACGTGCCATGACTTCCTTGACGTCCTTCCTTCTTTTCCTGGCCATAAGTGTTCCCTTTCTCGTAGCCGAGGACTTCAAGCCGGTCACAATTACGAACAAATTTTCCCGAATGCCCCTTTCCAGCCGGGAGTGGCCTTCCCTTGTTGTGGGTGAGAACGACAATTCTACCGACTTTGCTTGGCTTATCATCGGCGACATGATTCGGGCGTACGACAAACCTCTCTGCGTCATTAGCAAAGAAGACGTGAACGTGACGCTTGACTCCTGTGAAGTCATTAACCTCGAGTTGAATAAACCTTATTGTCGCGTGACGGAAATAAGGCCAGGGGGCATCTTCATTATCTTTACTGAAGGAGAACAATGCTTGGTCGATGAAGGGAACGTTGTGGGAAAGTATAAGCGTTGCCGTGCTACGGCACAGGAAAGATGGACAATCGAACCTTATATGGGACCAAGACTTGAGTAAACAAAAACATTTCATTGGTGAATAAAAGTTTTTGACTTTTTGAGTTTTTGAATAAAGTTTTTGACAAGATAATAACTCAAGAGCTTGAAAAACATGAAAGCTTCGGAGGAAATGCATAATTACGACAGACCTTAATTCCATACCACGTTTTCTAAAATTATTTTTTGTTCATACATCAGTAATCTCGATTTCTGAGAGAATATTCGCATACACATTGAGTCATTTTCTTTTTCAGATTCATTTCATTTCACTTCAACGTAATTCATTGTTTAATATTACTACGCCTCATGTAGTAAGCATAGGGTGAAAAATAAAAGAAGATAAAAATCCCCTCAGTCACGGTCATTCATCTGAAATGTCAGAATCTTTTAGTCATTTTCATTCAAATGATAAAGTTCGAATATTTCATGTTATTCTTAAATATCTTTTAAGTATGCATGGTCAAACATTTATGTATATAACTTTTGTTGTGGAAGCATTAACCTAAGATTATTTGGGTCAGCGTTCAAATATCCAAATTATTAATTATATTCTCCTAACTTTTCCAACTTACGGTGCATCTACATAAGTAATTGGGCAGTATTTAGATCCGTATCCTCATTTGATGGACTCCGAGCAAATAAAGCAGTATATGAGCACACATTTATGTTTAATAAGGTTGCAAGTTTATATAGTTTGTTTAACAAACAAACAAACGTAAATTGCGTTTTCATTTGTTTTAATTTTATCTTTTATTTGTCTGTGAAGCCTGTTCGAGCATATATTTAACAAGTTTTGGGTTTGAAGGATGAAATTATTGGGATCACCGTATCAATAACTCGTCTTCTAAATACATATTCAGTTATACCTCACTGCGTGTATGTGTATGTAGATTATAGTCTTGACTTAATTTTGGGGACAACCTACTCTCAAATATTTTGCTTGAGCAAGCACAATGAACAAGAAAGTGTCTGGAATTTTTATCAGTTACCTTGTGTCAATAATTTATTTAAATCCGAAATGAGCTTCGCGTACATATAAAATAACCTCGTAAAAAGAATGAAGATTCACTCAAGTTTAACCACAAAACTGCGATTTCTTTCCCTAAATGCCAATTAGGTACTCCAGTTTCTCGGAAAAGTTGTACTAATGAACAGTTTACCACTTAACTTATGGTAATCACCTTTACGTCTCCGTAAGTTTTATGAAATAGCGATTTCAATTCTGATTAGGATCAATTTTTTTAACTACAAATTCCATTAATCTCTCCTTATACATTGTGCGTATATTTCACCAACCTAAAAATAATTTGCTGTCTACTTACATACATTCAAATATCGTTAATTATAGATTTACTAGCCAAGAGTCAACTTATGGTATTATCAGATTATTATAAATTTTATCTGATTAGGAAAAATGTATTAAAGCGTAGGCAAAATTCCGTCGCTAAGGAACAAATCATTCCATAACTTTGAAAAGTTTAGCCAATCTCTCTTATGCAAAGAAACTTTCAGATATATCTATTAACAGAAATATGCTGTGAATTTGTACATCTGTATTATATTTTACCATTTTGAATGGTAAAATCATCCAAATATGGTAGCATGAAGGTTGACCCGCTGACACGCGTCTTATTATATATTAGCACAGTTAAATACAAAGGGTGGCCTCAACATCTTTTAATTTTGGCCGAGCTAAGATATAACTTCCTTCCCAATTTCAGATATTTGAGCAACCACGTGCCAGACCATGACTTCCACGACGTGCCTCTTTCTCTCCCTCCTTGCCCTTAGTCATCCCTTATTCGTCGCTTCGGACGACAACCCAATCACCATTACGAACCAATCCACCAAAAAGGCCCTTTCCAGTTTGAAGTACCCCTCCCTCGTTGTAGGGGAGAACGACAATTCTGCCCATTTTGCCTGGATGGTCACCCCCGACGGCAGGATTATGGCGCACGACAATGCCACCACGGAAGGCAAACGTGCCTGCGTCACGGTCAAGGAAGACCAACGATGGGCAGTACTTGCCCCTTGTCAGGCCGGATTGCCCGGGCAGACTTGGTTTGTAACGGGCAACTTCATTTTCTCAAAGGAACGAAACCAATGTTTGGACAACAAATTTGACCAAATTGTGGGAATGGGGGACCGTTGCCGCTATTCCCCAGAGGAACATTGGATCGTGGAACCCTATGTTGCATGAAAATAGTTACGTTAAAAAAAATGTATATCGTTAATAAATAGTGAATGAAAGTGAACAGGTATGACAGGCCCGTAGCGACGTTTTGTTCGGCCTGGAGAGTTTGGCCGTGGTACGGCCTCACATGCCCCCCAAAAATATTGAATCCATGATTTTACCTAGTGTGTTTTATTGCTGACCCTGATTTTACCTAGTGTATTTGATTACTGACTTTGATTTTACCCAGTGTATTTTATTGTTGACACTGATTTTATTTAGTGTATACTACTGCTGACCTTGATCTTATCTAGTGTATTCCATTGAATCCCTGATTTTATCTAGTGTATTCTATTACTGACCCTGGCGGTACGGCCTGGAGAGTGTCTCTCCACCTCTCTCCACCGTCGCTACGGCGCTGAGGTATGATCAAGTAGCTTCTTTTCAGCTTACGTCATCCCAAAATCAAATATGCACCACATTATGTAGCCCACATACCATATCGATAAAAATTCAAGTATTATATAATTAAATAATTTTATTCAAACTCTACAAAAACTTTCTGATAGAATTTTAATAATTGAACATTTCATCCCACATTATGTAAATAGGTAGGTAGGTAGGCTTTATTCAAAGATTGATGTAGCGTTAGCTTTTACAATCATACTCATTCATTCGTTTCATACAAAAATGCTTTCATACATACATAGTTTCATTTATACTACACAAATCAATCAATTCATTAAAGTATGCCTCAAGTTGAGGGCGTGATCCTCAAGTAGCACACGGCATCCCAATAAGGCTAATCACACACCATAATAATATTTTAGGCTACAATCTAATGATAATATGTATATAACAGCAGTAGCAAGGGTGTAGAGGGAAAACCGATAGTTCGGAAAACCTCTACATGTATTGGGAAGGTGGCCCAATACACCATTCCTACCTGGTGTCCAAACTGGACACCAGGTAGGAAAATGTATGGCAGTGATACATAGGAGGATTCCGTGGGGTGCTGGTGATATCCAAATGAGGGTGGCGTCTGCATGCGGAAGCAGACAGTTGAAGGTTGTTGGGCGGGGGGTATCCACGGACCGTGGGATCTGCCCACGTCCCCCATGGAAGCCGTAGCCGGGGCCGATGACCCCCCCACTTGTCCCTTCCCCCATCTCAACACAGCCAGGTCATGGGACCCCCGTAGACCAGACTATGCTGCCCTCCGCCATGCACGACCCCCTCCCCCACTCTTCAAACAACCACTCCCCACGGTCACCACCCCGATATACCAAAACAAAACCTACTTGGGGAGTCCCTCCAAAGCGTAGATCCTCCTGTGCACTGGTCCGGCGAATCCATCTTCGCCTGATGGCTCAGCTTGTCGTTGCTGGGACGGGTGTGGCAGGGGGTGTTACCAGGCACGCAGGTGGGGGGTGTGAGTGGACGAGGCTCACATGGCGAAAAGGCCTTGGGACACACTTTACTTGCCCTGGCACACCCGCGACCCAGATGGAAGAGGATCCAGATGCAGAGCGAGAGAGAGATACGTGGTGCACAAGAGGAAGCTTGGAGAGAACTCCACATTATGTAAATATGTACGTCTGGCCAAACCGATTTTCGATCAAAAATACACTTTAAACGAATTCTATCATTTCGACCGTATAAATAATACTGCACCACTCCAATGTTTAGGTATTTAGGGAACGTTCATATATTAAATACGCAATGATTTTAGTGGGTGGGTGGTTTATGGCTTCCTATCTTCCCCATGTTAAAATTCCATATCCCTTAATATTTACGTTGGGTGGGTAGGCCAAAATAGAGAATTTTTGATAGCGTAATATATGAATGCCCCTGTATGTATGATCACTCACCAATGCAGCGGATGTCCTGGAGAAAAATCTTATTTTATGAATATTTGAGTAGGTAGGTAGTTTATTACTTGTTAACTATTAAATCGTGCAGAGGCATGGGGCGGAGAAGACAAACATTAGATAAGATATGTAAGAGTCCGGGCCACATCCTGTGCCCGAAACTTAATTTGATTAAGTAAGTTAGATAAGACTTCAGATATGTAAGTCCTTCTCTTTGCACCTTCATGGGTTTTAGTTTAATTTAGGACAGTTCTTCGCTAGATCTATACTCTAAAAGTGCACTCACATCTTTCCATTCGTTATTTAGGGTGATTTAAATGTCTCGCTACAATGGAACGTTTGGCAATGTGAAGAATTCGTAAGTTTCCATCATTTACTGAAATTTTGTCTTTGAAATTAAACATTTTAAGAACTTTGTCATTATGTTTCATCATATTTTTATTTGATTCTAAAATTTTCAGAAAATTTTCCATTGTAGCGAGACCTTTACACCACCCTGTTAATCATTAAAAATTAAATGTTCGTGCCGTTCTAACCCGTAAATTTTTTCACCCAGTTGGATCGCCCTCCCACACTTTAAATAACTTGGAGACTAATTGCCACCCGCACAGGTACATACATATGTGCTGTATTTCCTTATTTTTGGGTAATGATTACGGACACATTTTGCCTACCAACGGGAAATAAGAACATGCATGTGATGTCGTTGTTAAAAAATCTAAGACTAATAAAAAAACTGATGTTAGTTAAAGATGCTCACTTTTTTAAATAACGACGTCACGTACACGAGTTTTTGACTTTTTCCCTATTGAGGGCGAAACTTCTCCTTAATCATTACGCAAAAATAGAGCACTGTACATGTTACCGGGTGACAATTTATCTCCATGTTATTTAGAGTCAGGCCCCGTTCTAGTCAATATAGCGCCCTAGGCAAAACGATAATTGCGCCCCCACGTGATCATACCGTCGGCGCTCGCAGACGCTTTAGTAAACTGACTTTACCACACCGTCCTATCTGTGTACATAATCGTACACAAATTTGCATATCAAACTACTTAATTTAATCTTCACAGATCGACATTTTGTTTAATAAATTTAATCAAATATTTTTAAGCCCTGCAAAGAAAATTAAATATTTTTATGTCATCGAAGCCGCATGAAAATTTCTAACTTTTTTAGGCCTTGCTAATTAAAAATTAAAATCACACTACATACATAACTAAGGTGGTCATTTCCGAATATGGTCGGACTAATTTTAAATTATGTATGCCCCGAAATAAGCTGACACATATTTTTGTTTTCCAAACCGTGTTTTCGAGTGTATTTAAATATACAAAAAATAAATTTTAATTTTAAAAATAGTGTAATTTAAAAATACAATTTACAAATACAATTTTCAAAAAATTTAAACTTAAAAATAGATTTTCTGGGAAAATTTTGATTTTTCAGGACGCACTCATTTTCCGAATTTTATCCGACTTCAAAAATTAAGAACAATTTTTGTCCAGACTTTCTTCAGTTGAAATTATAAAATTTCATATTTTCGTGCACGTAGTATTTTTGAATCTTTAAAATTCAAAAAAAATTAATTTTCTAAAATTAGAAAGTTTTGAGAATGATTTTTAAGCAAAATTTAATGGTAATTCTGAGCAAAAATGGGGCTTGGGTAATTGTTTTAAGTAATTGGCTAAAATTTGAAGAGTTTTGAATAGATCCAGATTTGGACTGAACATTTCATGATGTGCTTCTAGGTCGAAATACGCCGTTCGGCTCCGCATTTGAATACCAGAACAAAATTTTTATTGAACTTTTAGACAAACTTAATGTATTATTAGCTCGCCCTGCGTAGCACGGGAGCTATTGAATTCCTCTTGTCCGTCCGTCCGTCTGTCCGTCTGGTTGTTAACGAATTTTTTGCATCAATTGATGCTAATTATAAAGCCCCTTGACCATTATTGGATACGTTAGGCGCACCATTGGTACTAAACAAACCGAATCAAATTTTTTAACAAGTTAATAGGACCATTGATATCTAACAATCGGAAACACAAAATGATGCGAAATAATTGGAGGCAGGGACGCAAAACGCACCAATAATGCAGAATATCCGGGAGAAATGATCATACAATTTTGACAAATTTTTCAAAATTATCGTTGATCGTTGGTAGGTAATTTAGCACCAGTGATGCACAATTTTTTGAGGAATCTTCTCGATGCATAATAATTATTGATCTATTTTGTTTAATTTTTCTGCACCATTGGTGCAACATTGCATAAAAATTATTGATCCACTTTGTTGGATTCTTCTGCACCATTGGTGCCTAATTGCAAAAAATTATGTATCTATTTTGTTGCATTTTTCTGCACCTTTGGGGCAAGTTATAACCAAATCATTATTACAGGGTGAGCTACTTCTAACGTTACTACGGTTTATTTTAATTTTGTCTGGAAGTTTTAAGGAAAAGTCGAGTTAAAATCCAAATACCCACATTTTTATACAATTTCCCCAAATCAGAGATAATTATCTAACACTATGCACTGTCAGTGTTACGAAGAAATGGCTAGTTTATCTGGAAGGATTTTTAAGTCAAAATTTGTGAAAAATACTTACAAATAAAATTTTGTCCACAGGTTACGGCGAAAGTTAGTTTTTATATCCTTTTCCACGTTAAATTATAAAGTTCAGCAAAGTCGTTTTTATCTAGTGTATAGGGGCGCCTAGCGGCGCCCCCCAAATATTTGGCGCCCTAGGCAGTTGCCTAGCTCGCCTATACCTAAAACGGGGCCTGTTTAGAGTGCACACCAAAGGCATATTTATCGCGTCTCCGGTCACTTTGCATAATCCGTTTTCCATAACGGTCATATTGCAGAATTTTTATTCCATAAAAGTCACATGGCATAAACAACCACTTTCCATAATAAACTTTCTCATAAATTAAAAAAAACTAATTTCTGATTAGTGATAACTAAAATCATGCAGACAATACGAAATTGTTCGGAAATATTGCAACATATATATTGACTGCACATTCGATTCTTACATTCGCGTAAACCACCTTGTGTTGTACTCTAATTAACACGATTTTTTTGAAAGAGATGTCAAAGCAACCAGATCGTTGCATAATTTGAAGATTAAAAATTTGAACGGCTTTGTTTAATTGGGCCAATTTTCTGCAGAAAAGTTTTATGCAGGGCAATTTCTGATGAAACCTATGCAGAATTATGCACATACAGTTCTTCAAAACTATAGCGACACAAATTTTCCGCAGGAGTGTGTAAAAAAAATAATGCAGCATACAATATGTACAGAGTTTTTGTCGATTACTGCAAAATTTTTCACAAGTGAATTTATTTCTCGAGAACCCCGACATTCTACTTAATAAGTTAAATGTTTTAAAACTTTCGTCTGTGGAAAGTGGAGTTTGTAATAGATTAGAGTGAAAATAATAGGAAATGAACGAGTGTTATGCAAAACAGCAGTATGCAAAAATGACCTTGTATGCAAAGTGACTCTTTAGGTTAAATGCGGTAGGGGATAATTTTGTATGCAAAATGCGTTATGCAAAGTGACACCAGACCTATTTATCGGTAATTATAAGCATCCTGTCACAATAGAAAAGTCAATCCTACCAAAAACCCGTCATTAAAAAGATGTATCACGACGAAGCCGTCAAACAACTTTGTCGC